GCACATTCCAACGTCCAGGAAATGTGCTGAGGAACGCTCTAAAGCTTGGGGCAGCCGCTGCCAAGGCACAGTGGGGGAAAGACCACCGTCTGAGGGCCTCATGCTGAACGTAAATGGGGGTCCGTTCAGTTATCAGACCCTCCCTGTTCCTCAAATGTATGTAAATATTGTCTGTTTCAAATCAGAAATGTCCCTTGTTTATTTGTTCTCAATACATAAAGACTGCGCAGAATCAAACTACTCTGGTCACTAAAGATTTCCTGTGCATAAAATATATTTTAGAAATCAAAAAAAAAACCCTAATAGAGTCACAGAGTCATACAGCTCGGAAACAGACCCTTCAGTCCAACCAGTCCATGCCGACCATAATCTTAAACTAAATTGGTCCCATCTGCCTGCAATATGTACCAGCATCTCGAAAGAAGCACTGGAACAGACCATACAACAACAACTTGTATTTATGTATTATCTTTAATCTCGACAAGCATTGTATACCAATGGTACACAATGGTATACTCAGTCACATATGCAGCCATTAGGTCTGATGGTAAAACAGTTGGACAAAGAGTTTCCATGGAGTCTTACAGCACAGAAACAGACCCTTCAGACCAATTTGTCCCTACCGACCAAGTTTCCCAAACTGAACTAGTCCCACTTGCCAGCATTTGGCCCATATCTCTCTTCCTATTCATGTAGCTGCCCAAATGTCCTTTAACTGTTGTAATTGTACCCACCTTTTCCAGGAGTGTCTCAAAGGAGGAAAGCAAGGCAAAGAGGCATGAAGATGTGGGGAGGGAATTCCAGAACCTGGGGACCTACAACACTCATCAACAAAGAAACGCACAGGAGGCCAGAGGAGCATGGGTTTCAAGGAGATTGTGAGGCCATGGAGGGAACTGAACACAAGGACAAGAGTTTGAAAAGGAAGACGTTGTTTGTCTGGGAACCAGGGTTTAACATTGAGCACAAGGATAGTAAGGGAACACGATTTAGTGAGAACTCAGACGCAGGCAGTGGAGATTTGGACATGCTCAATTCATAGAGGTTGAAGATAGTAAGAACTGCCGATGCTGGAGTCAGAGATAACACAGTGTGGAGCTGGAGGAACACAGCAGGCCAGGCAGCATCAGAGGAGCAGGAAAGTTGACGCTTTGTGTCGGGACCCTTTTTCAGAAAATGCTCTGTGTTATCATAGAGGTTGGAATGTGTAGGAGAAGTTGGAATCTGGAGTAAATTGGAACAGTTTTCATAGAATCCCTACAGTGCGGAAGCAGGCCATTTGGCCCATCAAGTCTATGCTGACGCTCCAAAGAGCATCCCACCTAGACCCACACCCCTGTCCTATCCTTGCATTTCCCATGGCTAACCCACCTAGCCTGCACATCCCTGAACACTATGGGTCAATTTAGCATGGCCAATCCACAATAACCTGCACATCTTTGGACTGTGGGAGTAAACCGGAGCACCCGGAGGAAACCCACGCAGACACGGGGAGAATGTGCAAACTCCACACAGACAGTCACCCGAGGGTGGAATTGAACCTGGATCCCTGGCGCTGCGAGGCAGGAGTGCTAAGGTCTAGGGGTAACAAAAGTATGAATGCTCTGAGATTGACGATGTTAAGGAGGTGGGAATTTGTCATTTGAATGATATGAAGTCAGAATCGGGATCAAATTCAACAATAATGTTGATCCCTTGAATCTCAGACAGTTGCTGAAGCGTAGCCTGTTGTCAGAGAGAGATAGGTGGAGTTAAATTAAAGCAGGATACTGCAAATCAGAAATATAAACAGAGAGCACTGGAGAAATTCAACAGGTCTGGCAGCATTTGTGGTGAGAGAAACAGAGTTAACAGGCTCTGAAGATGTGACGTCACCACAGCCCAACTAGACCACAGTGCTGCTCTCTCAATAGATGGAGATGACTGGAGATGAGTTTAACCTGAGGGTCACCACACCTCAGGTGAGGGGAAGAGGTTGAGAAGGAGAGTCCTTCATGGTAACCTCAGCCAGTGTGGGAATTGAACCCACATCCAGATAACTGATCCCAACTCTGACAATGTCATATTGGACCCAAAACATTAACTCTGTTTCCCTTTCCACAGATGCTTTGTCCCTCCGGCACTTCCTGTACTGTTTTATATCTTAGAGAGATGGAGTTGGTTGCTAGGCGGCCGAGTTTGGAACAAGGTAAAAAATGATGACTTCAGTCTTCCCAACATTCGATTTTTGTTTTTGTTCATGCAACGTTGAATGCCATTCAGCCCCTTCAGCTTACTGTATCATTCGACTGTATCTTGGCTGATCTGTGTCACCTATCTAACAGGTGGTGCCTGACACAAATCTCTCAGCCTCCATTTTGAAATTTTCAATGGTCTACATCTTCAAGTAAGATGATAGGCAACAAGTTTGGGGAGGCGATGGCCTAGTGGTATTATCGCTGGACAGTTAATCCAGATAATGCTCTGGGGACTTGGGTTCGAATCCCGCCACAGCAGATGGTGGAATTTGAATTGAATAACATTTCTGGAATTAAGAATCTAATGATGACCGTGAATCCATTGTCAATTGTCGGGAAAAACCCATTTGGTTCACTAATGTCCTTTAGGGAAGGACACTGCCATCCTTACCTGGTCTGGCCTACATGTGACTCCAGACCCACAGCAATGTGGTTGACTCTTAACTGCCCTCTGGGCAATTAGGGATGGGCAATATATGATGCCCAGCCAGCGATGCCCTCATCCCGTGAATGAATAAAGGGAAAAAAGAAAAGTTAACTGAAATAAAGATTAAGATAATGGGGGCTGAACGGGACAGCTGGCTAAGGGAGCATCAAATGGTCAATTCTAGACATAGCAAGGATTTCAGTAACTGAAGATCTGAGGCAGTCAGGTGTTCTCTAGATGTTCAACTAACAGTCTTTGAGCTATGGCAAATATGGTCGCATGTACATTGCAAGATCAATTTGTTTTATTCACTCATGGGACATGGGACTTGGGCATCACTGACTGGGCCCAGCATTTATTGTCCATCCCTAGTTGCCCCTTGAGAAGGTGGGGGTGAGCTGCCTTCTTGAATCACTGCAGACCATGTGCCGTTAGGGAGGGAATTCCAGGATTGTGTCCCGGCGACTCTGAACGAACGGCGATATATTTCCAAGTCAGGATGGTGAGTGGCTTGAAGGGGAATTTGAAGGTGGTGGTGTTCCCATGTATCTGCTGCCCTTGTCCTTCTAGACGGAAGTGATCATGGGTTTGGAAGATGCTGTTGGAGGATCTTTGGTGCCAAGATTGCAAATGACTTTTATTCTTTTGTAGGATCTGGGTGTTGCTAATAAGGCCAGAATTTATTGACATTACCTTTGAAGTGAGTGGCTTGCCAGGCCATAACAATGTACCCCATTTTAGGTTAGACCAAGCCAAGCAAAAGGCCTTAATGAACTAGGTGGAGTTCTACATCGATCTGCAACAGCTTCATAGTCACCATTATTGACTATCTTCAGATTTTATTAATTGAACTTAAAATTCCACTAGACACTGTGGTGGGGTTTCGACCTGTGCCCCAGAGCAGTGGCATCCAGATTGGTTGTCCCCAGACATCTCCACGACATTACTGTCTTCCTTCAGTGTAGGATACAAAACCTGGAAGAATTGTAAAGTGTGAGGAAGACAGTGTACAAATCTGGAAGAGTATTGACAAGTTGGTGGCATGGGCAGAGAGGTGCCAGATAAGGTTCAATGTAGAGAAGTGTGAGGTGATGCATTTTGACAGGAAGAACATTGAAAGACAATATATCGTAGGGTGTATGATTCTAAAGGAGGTGCAGGAGCAGAGCGAGCTGGGTTTATATGGAAACAGATCATTGAAGGTGGCAAGGCAGGTGGAGGGAGCAGCTAATAAAGGATGCAGTGCTCCCGACTTTATTATGATGTGGAGGTGGATTAAGTCAAAAATCACATGACACCAGGTTACAGTCCAACAGGTTTATTTGAAAACACAAGCTTTCGGAGCGCAGCTCCTTCATCAGGTGCAGTGAGAGGAGAGCACACAGACACAGAGTTTATAGGCGGAGAGATCAAGGGCAGAGAGATTAAAGGATCATACAACTGGTGTGAGTGGAGTAAACATAACTGACTGACTGCCTCCTGTCGAATCTTTAATCATTCATACATTCCTGCATTCTAGAAATGGCAGAAGCAGGATATGGTGAACTCTGTTAGTTTCGATTGATTAAGATGCAAATTCCAGAATCTGTTTCAAGTCACTATCCCGTGACAGTGTCTCGGCCCAGTCTCTCAGTCCCCCAGGGTTTATGAGGGAGCGAGACAGACTGAGTGGGTGACAGTGTACACAAGAACCTCCATATGTGTCTGGCTCTGGATGCACGAGTGTACAAGTGTGAGCACACGCAAGCGTACACATGTACATTCTGTGGAACATTGGGAGTAGGCACTGTCAGCTAGCACCCTTGGGGAAAGGCTTATTTCCCTCTTTTACATAATCCCATGGGAATCTTTAGTATTGATCAAACCGGGGCCCAGATCTGTAGGGAAGGCTTAATCCCAAAACAAGCCAAGAAACAACAAAAGCAACTAAGATCCGATCAGAGATAGTAGGAACTGCAGATGCTGGAGAATCCGAGACAACAAGGTGCAGGGCTGGATGAACACAGCAGGCCAAGCAGCATCATAGGAGCAGAGAGGCTGACGTTTCGGGCCTAGACCCTTCATCAGAAAAGGGGGAGGGGAAGGGGGTTTTGAAATAAATAGGGAGAGAGTGGGAGGCTGCTGACGTTTCGGGCCACTCTCTCCCTATTTATTTCAGAACCCCCTTCCCCTCCCCCATTTCTGATGAAGGGTCTAGGTCCGAAACGTCAGCCTCTCTGCTCCTATGATGCTGCTTGGCCTGCTGTGTTCATCCAGCCCTGCACCTTGTTGTCTAAGATCCGATCAAATATTCAGAGGAATGCAAATTTCAGCCCATAACACAGAGAACACAAACATCATGAAAACTATAACTCTTTATTCTGTTTTTCTTTAAATTAACAACATTATTTTCTAAAAAAGAAACATGAACAGAATTGTTCACCCTTGCAGTCAGGAAACAGTGAATGAGTAAGCTCTTTTCCTGTACAATCTGGCAACGCTATGTTTGTTGAACATACAAGAATTCATTAGCCAAATGCCCCAGCCACCAAACAGGGTTGTTATCGTCAGTCAACGAGCGCTACCTGTTAGGTGTTCAGCCAGAGCTCTCTTTCAAGGAAGGGAAAAGAAAAGTAAGAAAATATATCCTTTAAAAATAATTTCTCTTTTAAAATATTCCCTGATCAAGGGTCCAGTTGAAGTTTTGTGCTTAATGTCATCTCCTTTATTTGTGGCCAAGGGCCACTTGAGTGAAACAATGGGAGGACAGCCATTTTTCCCTCCAATGTTCCACCGATGATTGTCCAGCTCAGTCCTCTTCGATATTTAGTTTTCCTTCATCCATCTTTTTTTTTAAAAGGTTGACTCCATTTTTTCTGTAAAGGCAATTGGCCCAAAGTGCTTTCCAAAAGTGCAGAGTTGGCAGTGGTGACCTCTACATCCCAATGACCTTTAACCTTGACGATGGCAGAGGTCAGGGCTGTTCTTCTAAGGGCACCAAGGCGTGTCTGGGTAAAGCAGACAGTGAATGGACTTGAATCTGGAGAAGACGTTGAAAAAGAAGTTGGCTATTATTTTTCTGAAGGATGATAGCGTTACCCCCTTGTTTGGATCCTCCCCTGAGGATACAATGGCTTCCTGCTGCAGTTTCTTGTAGACAGCACCAGGTGGTTAGCCAGTGCACATGGAGGGCCAGTGGGTCAGTTGTGCACAATGGGAGCAATTCCCCCCCTCTCCCTGTGTCCCAGGGAGCCTACACACTCACACTCAGTGCATGTTCACACTCGGCGCACGCTCACACTCACACCTGTGCATAATCACTTGTGCACGTGCATTCTCACACTCGTGCATGGGTATATCCACACACGCATATGCATGCTCACATTCATTAGTGCATTCCCACACTTGTTCACCTGCCTGCTCACGCTCGTGCAGTCTCACACACGTGCACATATATGCCCACACACATGCGTGCATGTGCCCACACTCAATCACACACGTGCTCACGCTCACATGAATGCAGAGTCAGACACATGCAGAGGTATACTCACATTCATTGACACCCGTGTGCGCGCGCGCACACACCCCCACACTCTCGCGTATACACACACATACAAACACACATGCATATGTGTACATGACCATACAAACTACCACACATGCATCCACACATGTACATGTACACTTCCACTTGTCATTCAACTATTGTCTCATCTCCAATACTTTAATCAATTAAAGACTATTTTCAGAAACAATGGGCCAAATCTTGTGTTTTTTTTTGGCCAATTGCAAGTTGCATCAATGCTTTAGGAGGGTTTTCCAGCATGAGGCCCAGTGAGATTCCTCGCTGCACCTTACCAAGCTTGCGTTATTAACTACCCAACCAGCCTCCTATTGCCCAGAGCTAGCTCCATCTCAGCACACACCGTTCCGAGACAACTCATTGGATACCCATTGGAAAACCGGCATCACCGGCACGCTGGCACTGTGCCTGCTCACTCCCTGGGGCACCTCACCAGCAACAACAAGGGGGTGCCATCCACTTCCACCTGACTCAATCCCTCGAGTTCTCTCATTCCAGGTGAAGACGGCTGACAATAAGGATAGAGGGAGGGGGAGGGATTGTCTGACATCAGCCTCTTCGCGCTCTCACATTGACCCTCACTGGGGAAGGCCAAGAGCCCCTCCCGCAGGGTTATGGAGATACCCGCCTCCTCTCTCCACTGTTCCACAGGTAGAACCACCATCTCCACAGCGGCACGTCCGGTTCTCAACCTTGGCAGAAGACGAGGAGTACGGAGGCCTCAGGAGGGGTTTTAAAGAATTAGCAACACTGCTCCCTGCCTCCTGAACCAGCTCTAACCTCTCGGGGGTGGGGGGGGAATTAGTCCCAGAGAGTGTGGGACCATAAGCTGGGGACCATCCAAGGCAGAAGTGGCCGAGGCCACAGGCACTCAAAGGGCCGCCAGAGACCAGGCACCTGCCCAGCCACAGGCAGGGGAGGGCCCCGCGGTGTTGGCAATCAGGGACTTTGCCCACATGCACAGGGAGGGACAGGAGCAACGGGCAGGTCTATGGGGCAGAATGGCCTTCATTGCCCAGAGGCTGCAGCGAGTCACACAGCAGGCCGCCATTCCCAGCGACAGGCACATAAACATGTACACACACACTCACACACACACTCTCACTCTCACACAGACACACACACACTCTCACACAGACACACACACACACTCTCACTCTCACACAGACACACACACACACACACTCTCACACAGACACAGACACACTCTCACACAGACACCCACACACACACACACACACACACAGACAGACAGACACACACACACACACACACAGACAGAGACACACACACACACACACACACACACACAGACAGACACACACACACACACACACACACACACACAGACAGACAGACAGACAGACAGACACACACACGTGCATAGGTGTGTATTACACATAAATGAAATGTATAAATACAGGTGTGCACATGTACGCACACACGTACACAACCATATACATAATCACACAGACACAGATATATATAGATAGGTATCTACACACCGACACACTGTATACACACACAAACACGCAGCCATACATACACATAGGTGACACACAGACATATATATACACACTCAGGCATCCACAGACACATGGGTACGCATACACTCTGTCTCTCTCACACGCGTACGCATACACTCTCTCCCACACGCGTACACATAGATACACACACACTTCAAGAGAGGTCAAATAGAGATTAAATGTTTATCAGATTATTAACTCCCCTAAGTATTAATTCTAATAATTTAATGGCAATCTTGGAGCATGAAAGCTTCTAATCTGAACATTATTGTCTTTTTTCACCTTCTGATGGAGAGACAATGTTGAGACAATGATTATTAATGAAGTGACAGTGGAAGCAAATCAATCTCAAGATGCTCTCATTAACTCAGCAGGCCAGGGAGTCAGCTCAAATCAGCGAGTGGTAAACTAGCCTGCTTTCTCTCCATATAAAACCTGCTTCTAGAACTTTAAAAGGAGAGTTGTGGTCCCTAACTTTCTCTGTATTGTGTGTTTAGTTTGTTTCCCAGTACCTGAAGGTCACCTCAAGAGAGGCCTGGTGCAGGCCTCATTTTAGGCCTCAGGTCTATTCCAGAAGCCTCCTGCTGACCTTTCACCTTCCACCTCTGTAAACACGAGATCATCGAAAACTTTACTATCTGCTCACACTAAGACCATTCTCCCACTATCCCTCTATTCGCTGAAAATCCTCCAGGAAAATCCACTAAAACTGGAAAATAAAACATACTCACTGTGTAGACTTCAAAATGAGGTAACAGTGCATTCGCTTCCAAATACTACTCTATTTTTAACTTTTTATTTCTCTCTAGTTCCTGGTAAAGCATGCCTCAATCTTAAAACATTAATTCTCACTTCAAACATCTCCAAGCAACCTTACTCCTGAGGGTTTTTTTTCACTTTTGTTGAAGCCATGCTAGTGTGGTTTTGGAGTAGATGCACTGTTTTCCTTTATTCATTCACAAGATGAGGGTGTCACTGGCCAGGCAGCATTTATTGCCCATCCCTAAAAGCCCAGACGGCAGTTAGGGGATCAACTACATTGCTGTGGGTGTGGAGTCACATGTAGGCCAGACCAGGTAAGGATGGCAGTTTCCTTCCCTAAAAAGCATTAATGAACGAGATGGGTTTTTCTGACAATTGAGAATAGATTCACGGTTATCATTAGATTCTTAATTCCAGATTCTCTATTGAATTCAAATTCCACTATCTGCCGTGGCAGGATTTGAACACAGGTTCCCAGAACATTAGCTGGGTCTCTGGATTAACAGTCGAGTGATACCAGTTCAGGCCATTGCTTCCCCTCCCTGTGGACAAACAGCTAGTCTTTTCTCTTATGTTCATTCTGGTGATGTGGGTGTCTCTGGCTAGTTCAGGATTTATTACCCATTCCTGAATGCCCTGGAGAAGGCTGAGGTGAGCTGCATTGTTGATCCACTGCTGCCCATTTGTGTGGGTTGACCCATAATGCTTTGAGGGAGGGAATTCCAGGATTGTGACCCAGCGACAGTGAAGGAATGGCAATATATTTCCAAGCCAGGATGGTGTGTGGCTTGGAGGGGAACTTGCAGGGGGTGGCGTTCCCATGTATCAGCTGCCCTTGTCCTTCTCGATGGAAGGTGTTGTGGACGGAGCGAGTTACAGTGGAGAACCTTGTAGATGGTACACACTGTGCCTCTCTGTGCCAGTGGTATGGGGAGTGACAACCAGAGACCCCTCATTAGGGCTGCATGATGCCACAGTGGTTAGCACTGCTGCTTCACAACGCCAGAGACCTGGGTTCGATTCCTGCCTCCGACTGTCTGTGTGGAGTTTGCACATTCTCTCCGTGTCTGTGTGGGTTTGCTCTGGTTTCCTCCCACAGTCCAAAGATGTGCAGGTTAGGGTGGGTGGTCCATGCCGGAGTGTGCAGGCTAGGTGGGTTGGCCATGGGAAATGGGGGGATAGGGTAGTGGGTTGCTCTTCAGAGGGTCGGTGCAGACCTGATGGGCCAAATAGCCTCTTTCCACACTGTAGGAATTCATGGTTCTACCCCTCCCCAAACAGTTGTGGGACTCAATGACCCAGAGACAATGGAACTAACCTGCATGTGATGAGCCATTATTTCAATCTTTTATACAATTTCCTGGACTGCAACAACCAAAGTCTCAGATTTAATCATAACTTGCCAAATATCTCCATGATTCAAATCAGAGCACCAATAGGGTGGAACGTACCTGGAAGGGTCTTCAGCAACAGAAAACGCTCCTTTTAACTCGATGATATTTTGCTTGTTCTCAAAGGTTCCATAACTTAAAGTGACCTGGAAATAGTCATTTAGATTTTAGTTCAATTTTTTATCTATTAAAGTGTCCCCGATGCTGGATCCCCCAACATGATAAATTGTCTCATGACCCAGTATTTGTAACAATTTACTTACACACCCAAAACTCATCTGCTTTACCTCGAGTGAGTCTAACCAACCTCAGCCTAGCCCTGAGACCCTTCAGCCCCAACTTCAGACCCTTTGGCACTAACCTCAGCCTAGCCCCCATGTCCTTCACCCCCAATGTCAACCTCACCCTCGGACCCTTCAGCCCAACCTCAGCCTAGCCCCCATGTCCTTCACCCCCAATGTCAACCTCACCCTGGGAGCCTTCAGCCACAACCTCAGCCTAGCCCTCAGACCTTTCAGCCCCAACTACCTTCTAGCCCTCAGACCCTTCAGCCCCAACTTCGGACCCTTCAGCCCAAACTCAGTCTAGCCCACAGACCCTTCAGCCCCAACCTCAGTCTAGCCCTCAGACCCTTCAGCATCTCCTTCACATTCATTTTGAAGAAAAGGGAAGCAGTATTAGGCCAGTCAGCCCCATGAGCCCACTCTGCTGTTCAATTCAATTTTCTACCTTGGCACTGTCTTTTTTTTATTTACGGATGGGATGTGGGCATCGCTGGCGAGGCCAGCATTTATTGCCCATCCTCTAACTGTCCGGAGGGCAATTGATAGCCAACACCATTGCAGTGGGTCTGGAGTCACATGTAGGCCAGACTGGGTAAGAATATCCGTTTTCATCCCTAAAAGGTAAAAGACATTGGCTGCCCAGATATGTTTTTACAACAATTGTTTCAGGGTCATCATTTGACATTTAGTTCCATATTTTTATTTCAATTATTGGACTCAAATTCCACCAGCAGCTGTTGTGGGATTTGAACTTGGGTCCCCAAAACATCACATGGGTCTCTGGATAAACCCTCCAATGACAATAGCACAAAACCATCACTTCCCACTTTCTCTACGTCCCTTGAAACAAAAAGAGTTGAAGTTTTGAGTCTGATACAACTCGCCCTCAAGAGAGTTCCAAAGAAGAATAACGTTTGCCAATGGGGATAGATGAAGATGGATGGCAGGTGGGGAGCGTCAATACCGAATGGCCTGTATCTGTGCTGTAAATCCAAAGCAATGCTGTGTCCAAGGATTAATCATGGAGTCATACGGCACAGAAACAGACTCTTCAGTCCAACTCGTCCATATTGACCGTGTTCCCAAACTGAACTAATCCAATTTGCCTGCATTTGGCTCATATCCTCTAAACCTTTCCTATTTATCTATCTGTCCAAAAGCCTTTTAAATGTTGTAATTATACCAGCCTCCACCACTTCCTCTGGCAGCTCGTTCCATACACGCACCACCTTCTGCATGAAAAAGTGTGAAAACTCTTTTAAGTCTTTCCCCTTTCAACTTAAACCTACGCTCTCCAGTTTCAAACTCCCCTACCCTGGGGAAAATACCTTTGCTTTGTCCTCATCTATGCCCTTCATAATTTTATAAACCTCTAATAAGGTCAACCTCCTATGCTCCAGGGGTTAAATAAAAAGTCCCTGCCTTTCCAGCATAGCCTTAGAAACCTTCTAGTCTCGGTAACATCCTGGTAAATCTTTTCTGAACCTTCTCCAATTTAATATCCTTCCTATAGCAGGGCAACTAGAACTGCACACAGTATTCCAAATGTGGCCTCTCCAATGTCCTGTACAACTACAACATGACATTCCAACTCCTGTACTCAGTGCTCTGATTGATGAAGTCAAACATGCCAAATGCCTCCTTCACCATCCTGTCTACCTGCGATGCCACTTTTAGGGAACTGTGTCCCTGCATCCCCTAGGACTCTCTGGCCGACGGCACTCCCCAGGGCCCTGCCATTAACTTTCTAAGTCCAGCCCTGGTTTGCCTTACCCAAATGCAATACCTTGCATTTATCTGAATTAAATCCCATCTGCCACTCCTCAGCCCATTGGCCCAGATGACCAAGATCCTGTTGTACACTGAGATAGCCTTCTTCACTGTCCACGATACCATCAAGTCTGGTGTCATCCACAAACTTACCAAGTCGTGGGTCTACATTGGGGAATCACCATTAAACTGTTCCAACGCATCATCAGGCTGCTAAAGCTATAGGGAAAAGAGCGAGTTGCATTACATCACATTGAGTGTAAAACACTGAACCTGGTTAGTACGTGTGAGACTCAACCAGGAAAACATGGGAGACCTACCTGGCTTTGAACCTGGGATTTGGAAACTAACTGCAGGTTCTCGAGGTGGGAGTGAAAGAGAGGGCTGTGGATCAGATTGACACCCAGGATGGCCTCAATGATGTAACCGATGGTGCAGTCGTCAGGGAGACGGATCCTCTCTGCTGTGTTCATAAAATTCCCATTGCTAATTGCAAGATAAACCATGTTTCAGTTTTAAAGTGCAAGTGCTTTGTAACGCTTCATTGTAATTACTACAACACAATAGGATAAACTTACATTGCACCTTAACTCGAGGGGCACCAATATCCTGGGCGGGAGGTTTGCTAGAGCTCTTCGGGAGGGTTTAAACTAGTTTGGCAGGGGGATGGGAACCGGAACAATAGGCCAGTAAGTGCAGGGACTGGGGACAAAGAAGAAACTGAGACATGCATAGTGCAGGGTAAGAGCTCAGGCAGAGGGGAATCTCAGGGCTCAGAGGGACTGGAATGCAAGAAGCATAGCAGGTAAGTCAGATGAAGCAAGAGCATGGATCATTGCATGGAATTATGGTGTTATTGCCATATCAGAGACATGGTTAAAGGAAGGACAGGACTGGCAGCTTAACATTCCTGGATATTGCTGTTTTAGATGGGACAGAAAGGGAAACAGAAGGGGTGGGGGAGTTGCATTGCAGATTAGGGGTCACCGCTGCTGTATTGAGGGAGGACACATTGGAGGGATCTTGCAGTGAGGCATTATGGGTGGAGCTCAGGAATAGGGAGGGTGAAATCACAATGTTGGGAGTTTTACATAGACTTCCCAACAGCCCATGGGAGACAGAGGAGCAGATATGTAGTCAGATACTGGAAAAGTGTGAAAAGAGCAGGGTAGTTGTGGTAGGTGAATTCAACTTTCCTCGTATTGACTCGGACTTCCTTAGAGTAAGGGGCTCAGATGGAGAGCAATTTGTTAGTTGTGTCCAGGAGGGTTTTTTGAGGCAGTATGTTGACACTACAACCTGAGAGGGGGCCATATTCGACTTGATCCTAGGGAATGAGTCAGGACAGGTCACTGATGTGTCAGTAGGAGAGCATTTCGGGCTTAGTGACCATAATTCCATATGATTTCGAATAGTCATGGAAAAGGACACAAGTGGCTCTTGGATGCGGATGCTTAATTAGGTCAGAGCCAATTACACCCAAATTAGACAGGAACTGGAGAATGTGGATTGGGAGCAGTTATTTGAGGGCAAATCTATATCTGGCATGTGGGAGGCTTTTAAAGACCAGTTGATTAAAGTGCAGGACATGCATGTTCCTGCAAAACTGAAGGATAGGAATGGCAGGATTCAGGAAACATGGATGACAAGGGAAATTGTAAGCTTAGTCAAAAAGGAAAGAGGAAGCGTATCATAGGTCTAGGCAGCTTCAAAGTGACAAACCCCTTGAGATGTATAGAAAGATTAGGAAGGAACTTAAATGCAGAATTAGGAAGGCTAAAAAGGGGCCAGGGAATGTCGTTAGCTAACAGGGTCAAGGAGAATCCCAAAGCTTTTTATATATATACTAGAAGAAAGAGGGTAGGAAGGGAAAGAGTAGGCCCACTCAAGGACAAAGGAGGGAAGCTATACGTAGAGCCACAGGAAGTGGGGGGGATCCTTAATAAGTACTTTGTATCAGTATTCACCAAGGAGAAGGACATGACTGATGTTGAGGTCAGGGATGAGTGTGTGAATACTCTAGAGAATGTCCATATATTGAAGGAGGAAATTTTGGGTATCCTAAATTGTATTAAGGTAGACAAGTCCCCAGGGCTAGATGGGATCTATCTCAGGTCACTGCGAGAGGCAAGGAAAGAAATAGCTGGGGCATTAGCAGATACCTTCACATCCTCCTTGACTACAAGCGAGGTTCCAGAGGACTGGAGATTAGCGAATATTGTTCCCTTGTTTAAGAAAGGAAGCAGGGATAATCCAGGAAATTATAGGCCGGTGAGCCTGAGGTCTGTGGTAGGGAAGCTCTTGGAGAAGATACTGAGGGACAAAATATATGCACATTTGGAAGAAAATGGACAAGTTAGTGATAGGCAGCATGGTTTTGTCTTACCAATCTGATTTTTTGAAGAGCTGACAAATATAATTGATGAGGGAAAAGCTATGGATGCAGTTTATATGAACTTCAGTAAGGCATTTGATAAAGTCCCACATGGCAGATTGGTACAAAAACTAAAATCACATGGGATTCACGGTGGGCTGGCTAGATGGATACAAAACGGGCTTGGTCATAGAAGACAGAGGGTATTAGTGGAAAGATGTTTTTCAAAATGGAGACCGGTAACTAGTGGTGTTCCACAGGGATCAGTCTTGGGTCCTCTGTTGTTTGTAGTAAATATAAATGATCTGGAGGAAAATGTGGGTGGTCTGATTAATAATTTTGCAGATGACATGAAGATCGTGCCACCGATTGTGAAAGTATACAACAGGATATAGATAGATTGGCGATTTGGGCACAGAAATGGCAGATGGAGTTTAATACAGACAAGTGCAAGGTGATGCATTTTGGAGGATCAAATTTAGGTGTGAATTATACTGTAAATGGCAGAACCCTTAGGAACATTAACATTCAGATGGATCTGGGCATGCAGGTCCACAGTTCCCTAAAAGTGGCAACAGAGGTGGCCAAAGTGATTAAGAAGGCATATGGCATGCTTGCCTTCATCGCCCGAGGCATGGAGTACAAGAGTTGGCAAATTGTGTGCAGTTTTGGTCAACATGCTACCAGAAGGATGTGGAAGCTTTGGACAGAGTGTGGAGAAGGTTCACCAGGATGTTGCCCAGTCTTGAGGGCATGAGGAAAGGTTAAAAAGACTGGGATTGTTTTCACTGGAAAGACAGCAGCTGAGAGGAGACCTGATAAAAGTCTACAAAATTATTAGATACATTAGATAGGGTGGGTAGTCACAGGCTTTTTCCCAGGATTTAAGTTTCAATTACAAGGGGACACAGGTTCAAGGTCAGAGGGGGAAAGTTTAAGGGAGATGTGCGAGGGAGGTTTTTCACGCAGCGAGTGCTAGGAGCCTGGAATGCATTGCCAGAGGTGGTGGTGGTAGCGGGCACATGGCGACATTTAAGAGACATCTGGATGGTTACATGAATATGGAGGGTATAGAGTAATACAGACTGAATAAAGGCAAAAGGTTTGTTTTTTAGATTAGTTAGGGTATGATGATCGGCACAGGCTTGGAGGGCTGAAGGGCCTGTTCCTGTGCTGTACCTCTGAACTGTTTTGTTCGTTTAATTGGCACATGTTATGTGAATGCATTTGTGTGTCTGTGTCTGTATCTCTATCTCTCTGTGGTATGTGTGTGAGTGTGTGCGTGAATGAGAGAGTGAGCCTGAGTGAGAGAGTGCGCGCCTGAGTGAGAGAGTGCGCGCCTGAGTGAGAGTATGCGCACCTGAGTGAGAGTGTGCGAGTGCGAATGTGTGCGCGCGAGAGTGAATGTGTGCGCGCGAGAGTGCGCGCATGCTTTTCTAGTCAAATTTGCAGGGATGGGTGATTTCAATGCCAATGAACTCACCACCAACACAGCCAAGAAAGTTCGCCCACATTGCATGTCCAATGAGCTTGTTAAGAACCGACTGGCCAAGCTTCTCAGCCAAACGCAGGCCTCAACCACAGAGTCTCAGCTCAGGCATAGGTTGGCACCCTTTTGGTAACCATCTTGTTTATGGCCTGCTCGTCAGTGGATCCAAAGGCGAGGAAGCAGGTCCTTTTTCTTTAGTTTCTCAGGAGGTGGGGCATCACAGGGAGAGGGCACGGGGAGTGGGGATCAGAGGCAAGGGTAAAGGGGTGCCTTACAGAGGCCACCCTTATGCCCCATGTCACCAAATGCCCTTGAAATAGGCAAATAGCGGTCTGCCACAAACCTACTGGGCTGGTCACCTTGGTTACACAGCCAGGAAACCAGCCATTTCTCTCAGCCATCGGGAAGGGGGATAAATCTGGAAGGTGCTGAGCGGAGACTTTTAAGTGGCTAGTAAGTCAAGGAAGTTTCTAATGGACCTTCTCCCCCAGCACTCTATAGAGAGAGGGCAGCCTCCCAGGACACAATAATTTCCCTTTCTAGACACCTCTCCTGGCACCTCCAAGGATGGAAAAATTATGCCCTTATCTCTATTTTCTCCCTCTTCATGACGACCCCACCCTGCATCTCTCTATCTCTGTCTCTCCCCCACCCTCTATAACCCTCCTCCTAACCCTCACTGTCTCCCCTCTCCCTCTGCCCCTCTCCCAATCTCTCTACCTCTCTATTACTCCCTCTCTCCCTCCTTCCAGCTCTCCTCCCCGTCTCTCTCCTTGTCTCAATCTTCCTACCTTTCTATAACTCCCTCTCCCCTCACCCATCCACCCTCTCCCCACCCCCCTTCCTCTTTCAACCTCTTCACCTCTCTCTCACTTTCTCTCTCCCTGTGCCTCTCCCATTTCTCATTCACTCTAGCCATCACTCCCACTGTCTCACACAATCTCTCGGTCACTCCCTCTCTATCTCTTGCCCCACCTCTCTCATTCACACCCTCTCCCTCAGCCTAGTCCTGTGTATCAGCGTACCCCACCTGTGTCTGGGTGAAATACTCTGGGTGTAGTATCTTATACAACACCTGTAACTACTTGCCTCCTTCTGTCCCTCAGTCCTCTCCTTCCTCCGGAAATACCCAGCCTTGTAAAATTAAACGTTAGCACTGCCCAGGAGTTTCTTGACGCAGAAACAGTTATATATTGAGCCAGAGACATTGAGAATGAGAACTACAACAGCAACCACTTCCCAGCAGACTCCCTCTGCTGGTACATGTACATATGGTAGCCTCAACTGGACAAAATTCACAGCACAAAAACAGAAGTTGCTGGAAAAG